ATCAAATCTCACCTCCTTCCAGCATCTTCGTGACGAGATCGGTCAGCACAGTAGTAGCCTTCGCTAGGAGGGGGCTGCTGTCAGGGAGGCAACATCTAGACCTGCAATACCATTATGGAACATCTCATAGAAACATCGTGTACTCCACAACGGCTCGACATAGCTGGTGGGGATCTCCGCAGTCAAGAGCCCTCTGGAGGTCCTCGGTAGCCCTGGTCACAGCCTTCTGCTGGACCACACCCTTGAGGGCAACCTCGGCCGATGCAAGTTCCTCGCTGAGTACAGCAGACACCTTGTACCTTGAGGAGAGCAGTGGGGCTAGAGAAACGTGAGTAACATCCCACTGTTTGGCATTGATAATGGCTTGCTTCAGTTCCAGCTCGTTGGCAGCCTCCACTCCTCGAATAAGCTTCAATCTTGACATCGTGCAGATAGCTCGGGCCTCATCAGGCATACCCTGAGTTGAGGCATCCCAGTCCGCGAGAGAACATTCCCATGGCTGACTTGAATCCTGCTGTACTTCACGAGCTCGATCGACTCCTCCAGCTGGGAGACATCCTCCTTCGCTAGTGCCTCTTGTAGCTTCTGCGTCAACTTGGTCACCAACGTTTGAACAGCAGCAAGAACCTGGTTATGGCCACTGATCGATCGCTGTTGGTGTTGACTGTTAGGGGACAGTCCGCAGTAGCTCTCACTATAGGGGAAGGCGCACTAGTGTACGGAGGAGTCAGACGAGCCAGCCAGGCTCCTTCCACGGCATCCACAACAGCATATAGATCTACACAAGTGACTGCAATGAGCCGAGCCGCCAACTAACCTGAAGCCTTCAGTGCAAGATGGCATGCTAGGTAATGGTTGGTAGGAAAGGAAGCCCCAGAGTTGCGAGCTCTCATGATAGCAGTGTGCCCCTACAAGGGAAAGTCATAGTGGACACCACAGTCAACACCATCTACTTTGCCATCCTTGGTTGTCACATTAGCCCCGAGGTCGACTGCACTATCGCATACTTGGAAGTCGATAGCCGAGGCCGCTATGTGGAGCAGACCCTCACCTGAGTCAGTGATGGACCCCATATACACACAGAGGAGTAGCCTACCGTCTTTGTTGGTGTATGTCACCGCGCTATCCCGAGCAACAGTGGACACAGACAACACCTCGAGGCACTGTGAGGTAAGGCCACACTGTAGATGACAATACATGTGAGCAGCTGGAGGAGTACTCACTCGAGTGAGCATCATGAGCAGACCATCGTCACTAGCACCCCCAGCACCGGTCAATGTCGAGTGTTGCTCAAGGCCGAAGCTCCAGGCCTTCTCAAGTAAATCGGTAGAGATCACCAAAAGACTGTAGACCCTAAGTGAATACGAGCACTGACACTCTGTTGTGTGTGGTCATTCTGTTCCTACTCTGCCTGTTGGGCGCTATGCTCCGCGTCTTCCTTCATGACATCCTCCACAATGTTGGATGGTGATTCAGCTAAGGCCATAGCAGTCACTGAAAGAGGACCATCATGAACTTGGTCCAAGCGATCGAAAGAGAGGAGCCTACCCGTATGATGGAAATCAGCTAGTGCAATCAACAGGGGGCACTTGTCCAACGATGGGTCCCGAGCCTGCTCATAGGACTACGTCCGTGGCGATAATATACAGTACATTACTCCTACCAGTGGATTCGCCTTAGCATCCAACAACAGCTTGACCATGCCCGGCTGCCTCGCACGCAGAGCTGTAGTTAGCGGCAGCTCTCCAGTGTCGGTACTCACTCTATTCGGATCAACGTGCCATGTCCTAGTCAATAACGGAGATACGATTGCCCTTGCATATCTCTTGGGTGCCTCACTGAGTGATCAGAGTGAGAGAGTCGTAGTTCCCTGCCTTGATAATTCGTGAGTAGTTGAACTTGGCAACTT